CACATGCATTACATCACACCACAAACACAACACAAGTAAAACCGACCTTATTACACAATACCACACCACAATCAGCTCACTCTACACACACGTAATCCCACAAGCAGGCTCCAAACACATGCACAATACTCTTTCCTGGCCCTTTTATCTCCTGGTATCCCATTTATAGAGACACCAGAAACAAGTTGCAAGGAAACACAGTGCAAGCATGTTATTACATTTGCTTGCACTGTGCAGAACAAATACAGGGCTTTTTTCTCATTCTAGAGCTCTTCAGCAGAGCTCTGCGCATGGTCTGCCCCGGAAGAGCATTGAACCAACACGTTCACTTTAAGAGGGGGCATGCTTGTCATTGGTGATGACAAAACACACCTCCTCTGCCCCGCCCCCTTCTTAGTGGACCGCTGTGATTAAAAAATGCCCAGTGGCCTTGCCTACCACTATGACCATTCTAAAAGAAGAAATGATTGCAGTAATCCTTTAAGCATTTATGGAGTTTAAACAAACTAAAACAAGTGACAATTTGTTTCTCTTGTTGCGACTGGTCACTTGCCAGTTTTTCACTTCCTGAATATATCTACACAAGAAATATGTATGTGGTTGCAACTTCTGTGTCCCTACCCAAACCTACCTCAATGTTCCTGTGGCAGAACCAGCCTCGCCACTGGGCTTTGGAGAAGACTGATTGCCAGCCTCCTGCCATGTGACTATGGCCCCTGGGATGTATTGCCTGCTCTCCTGTACTGCTGAGTATTGCTACCAACTAGGTGGATTTGGCTATGGAGCTTGTGTAGTGCCCTCTGTTGGTAGCAACAGTAATATGCACTACCTGAATAGCAAGACTGGTAATTTGCATATTCGGGTAGATTTGCATATATCTAATTCTGCATGCAGGATGGATTTTGTGTTAATTATGGTCTTCCCCACCCATTTATAAATATGTAATTATGTTATAATAAGTCACTGTATGTTGCCTGCTATGATTTGACTGTTTGTAATTTTATTGAGTTTTCATAGCAATGTTAATGTACTGACCATATGGGCTAGTCCCAAGTAAAATAAAGTTTTAGTCAGTTCTACTTCACTCTCCATTTGGAGTCCTGTCTCGTATTCACACCGCCATCTGTTATTAACCTATTATTTTTTGATCTTTACACCTGCAACTGTTATTATTCAATCATATTAATTCCTATTCTGAAACCTGTGTCTTATCTAGTCCCATAGATCCTTCTCCAGAGTGCAGCCAGTGGCTTCAATCAAAACGTGTCCAATCTCTTCAGTCCAGCTTTTGTTGACTTAACCACCATGACCATTTCTGCTTTCAGGGAGTCTGTGTGCCGTGTTTCTGCTTGAAATTCTGCATATAATGAGATATATTAACTTTTTACACCCCAGCACACCTGACTCAGGTAGCCTAGAACTCTGTTCTGGGCTGCCTAACATCACTTTTGTGTAAAATTTACAGCTGTCGTTAACGTGCGTAGAGCGCTGGTAATAGACCTGGTCATCTTATCCCTTGTAAGCAGTGCTCCTATAAGGGGAAATTTGATCTTCCCTCCCTCCTTCAAACCTTCCCTTCAGTCCTCGCATCTCTATATTGCTCGGTTTCATTTTTTTTACATCCCCTTCATCCCTACCCGTCCAAGCCCTCACTCCCTCACATGCACACACTATGAGCCAGGAAGACGTGAGAGAGGATGTGGCAATGGAGGCAACATGGAATCCAACCAGGGGAGCTTCCAGGTAAGTTTACCTTTATTTTTCAGGCCTATAACGGGGTGAGTTGACCACGGCTGCCCAGTAAGGCTTTCCACAGGGTTAGAGTAACCCTTTAAGATTTCTCAAATTGCTGATCATTATGGGAAATGTAGTCCAATATAAACCAGAAAGCAAATGACAAATGGTTCTAGTTTGGAAATAGCCTCGGTTAGTTTGTTGCTAACTTTTCTTTCAATGCCAACAGCTTTTAAAGTAGTAATTATATGTATATATAGGTAGATCTTCACTCCTGTGATGCCAGGGTGCTCGGCAATCAGTAAAATGTACATTAAAACAATGTTCTTTCTTTTTAACAATAGGTAATAATAGCCTGCACTACAGAAATGAATACTTTTAGCTATATCCCCATTTTATAGCTATTTAGAATCATTTTATTTCTTGAATAAGTGGACTTGTGCCGTTATTGGTTGCTTTATCAGCACTTAAAAGCCGTTCTTTGTCCTTAATTTCGGTGGTCAATCATCTAGCTCCCATCATGGGGTTGGTTTAATTAATAAGTGGGATTTTTTGAGATGTTGCATAGGGAGGAAGGGGCTGAATTCATAGGTGTTTCCTTACAAGCTCCTATATTAAGGTTAAGAGTTAATGACTTACATGCTGCACATATTAATATTAATATTATTTATTAAGGGCCAATAAATTCCATAGTGCTGTACAATCGGTGGACTAACAGACATGTAATTGCAAGACAAGTTGGACGCACAGGAACAGAGGGTGTGGAGTGCCCTGCTCAGACCAGCTTACATTCTAAAGGGAGAGGGGTAAAGTCACACAAAAGGTAACGGAAGGTCATATTTCATGTACAGGAAAAAGTAGGTTACTAGAATAGCTTACATTTCAGTAAATGGTTAGTTTTTTGGATGACACAGTTGCAGAAGAGGAAGCAGGGTAGGTAACCAAGGTGCAGGGAGGGAAATTATTATTATTGCCATTTATATAGCGCCAACAGATTCCGTAGCGCTTTACAATATTATGAGAGGGGGGATGTAACTATAAATAGGTCAATTACAAGAAAAGTTACAGGAACAATAGGTTGAAGAGGACACTGCTCAAACGAGCTTACAGTCTATAGGAGGTGGCGTACGTTAGGACAGGAAATATCAATCAAATAGGGTGGGAGTGAAGCAGAGTTGGAGGAGAGAGTAAAGCAATTGACAAGCTTTTCTAAAGAAGTGAGTTTTTAATGATCTTTTGAAGGAACTAAAACTCGATGAGAGTCTAACAGAGCAGGGAAGGGAGTTCATTAGGAACGGCGCAGTCCTAGAGAAATCTTAAGGGTGGGCATCAGAGGTGCGAGTACGAACAGAGAATAGACGCAGATCTTCAGCAGAGCATAAGGCCCTATATTTGTGTATCAGTATGGATAGTTAGGTAGGAGCAGTGTTATGTAGAGGTTTGTAAGCAAACATTGCTTAAATTGAGCTCTAAATCTTCCGGAAGCCAGTGTCAGGGCTAACAGAGGGGGAGGCATGGGAGGTGAAGGCGGACAGGAATATAAGCCTCACCGCTGCATTCATTATAGACTGTAACTGGGCAAGCTAAGAAGATCACCGGTGTTAGATAGGAGCAGATGTGTGCTATGTTTTTGAGATACAAACAGCAGGATTTGGTGAGTGACTGGACATGAGGGTGAAGGAGAGGTTGGAGTCAAAGAGGCAGTGAGCTAGGCAGCGAGCCTGTGAGTGCCATTGATTTGGAGGGAGACGGACATGGGATTAGCATGTTTTAACAATTGAGGAAGGAATTAAAAGAAGTTCTGTTTTGGACAGGTTAAGTAGTGAGCAGCCATCCAGCTGGAAATCACAGAGAGGCAGTAAGAGACACGAGTCAAGATGAGTGGTAAGAAATTAGGGGAGGACAGATAGATTTGCGTGTCATCCGCATAGAAGTGATATTGGAGGCCAAAGGAGGTGATGAGTTTACCAAGGGAGGCAGTATAGATAGAGAACAGTAGGGAACCGAGGACAGAACCTTGGGAATCCCTGACAGAGAGTGGTTGGGGGGAAGAGGCAGAGTCAGAGAAACACACTTAAAGGCAGGGCCGGCGCTACCTGTTAGGTGGACTAGGCAGCCGCCTAGGGCGCCCCTTGAGAAGGGGCACCTCCAGGAGCACCGGCCCACCTCATGCTGCAGCCGCCCGAGCGCTCTGTAGAGAGCCTCACGCGGCTGCAGCTTTGCCCGGGCTGGTGCGTCCATGAGGGCGCACCGCCTGGGCGCAGCATGAGGAGAGGGGCTGACAGGAGGGAAGCGCTCAGCGCTCCCTCCTGTCACTCCCTCACTGTAGCGTGGTCGAGCCCTGTATAGTTTGGTCCACGGGTACAGGAAAGAAAAGCTACCTGTACCCGCGGACCATACTGGGCTCGGCCACGCTACAGAGAGGTAGGGGGAGAAATTGACATGGGGAAATGAGGCAGAAATGGACTGGGGGGGAGAAATGGGACAGGAATGGACAGGGAGGGGGGGAAATGGACAGGGAGAAATGGACAGGTGGGGGAATGGACAGAGGAGGGGTGAATGGATGGGGGAAATGACAGGTGGAGGGGAAATGGACAGGGGAGGGGGGGAATTGGATAGGAGGGGGGGGACAGGGGAGGGGGGGAACAAGGCTAGGAAGGAGGGTGAATTGACAGGAGGGGAACGACAGGGGGGAATTGACAGGAGGGGGGGGAAATTGACAGGGAGGGGAATTGACGGGAGGGAATTGACAGGAGGGGAAATTGACAGGAGGGGGAATTGACGGAGGGGAAGAAATTGACAGGGAGGGGGGGAAGAAATTGACAGGGGGGGGAAGAAATTGACAGGGAGGGGAATTGATGGGGGAATGAGAGTGGGGAGGGGAGAAGAGAGTGACAACGGGGGAAAAGAGAGTGACAAGGGAGGGGGGAGAAGAGAGGGACAAGCAGGGGAGAAGAGAGTGACAAGGGAGGGGGGGAGAGAGAGAGGGACAAGGGAGGGAGAGGGGGGAGAAGAGATTGACATCCATCACACACACACACAATGCACCCCTTACACACAAAGACAATGCACCCTTTGCACACAGAAAAACACACAATGCATTACACACACAGACACACACACACAAGCAATGCAACCCTTACACACAATGCATCCCTTACACACACAGAAACACACAATGCATTCCTTACACACACTCAATGCACCCCTTAAAGATGCACACACTCAATGCATCCCGTACATACACAGAAACACACCTTGCAGCCCTTACACGTACAAACACAGATTCACACAATGCATTCCTTACACACATATCCGGACATCCCCCTACTCCACCCCCTGTGAACAAACTCATTGGTGGAACATGAAAGTGGACCCAGGGACCCAGACCTTGAGCTGTGTAAAGGGCCTTAAAAAAAATGGAGCTGCTTCCCATTCTCCCAGAACATTGATTTTTGTGACCACAGTTACAAACAGCCTCCAGTGAGCCTGTTCTACACCGGACCAGTGGAGCCAGACGGCAGCTAGAGCCCATCATCATCCTCATCTGGTTGTAAGTAGGCAATCTAGTATATTATTCGTGGCACTAATCTCCAGTCCCCAGAACCACTTCAGCTTAATGTAGTGGTTCTGGTGTCCATAGCCTGTCCCTGCAGGCCTTTTAATGTAAACACGACGGCACTGCAGCACTGGCGTTAGTTAACATGGCAGATCATATGGGTGGGGCATTGTGATGTCACATGGGGGGGCGGCAAACTTTACTTTTGCCTAGGGCGGCAAAAATCCTTGCACCGGCCCTGCTTAAAGGTACTCATGGGACTTAACCAAATTGTAAAATTCCAGTAATAAGAGTTCAATTAGAACATTTCTCCAACTAACCCATAGTCACAGCTTGGATATTTTGAAATTACTGTGTTTTAACGACTAATTATTATTCTAACTAATATAATAATTTCAGTGATATAATTACTTTTTGGAATTAGAAAAACCGTAACCATTTAAAAGGACATCAATAATCCAAAGTAGTCTCTGGGATCACTAGTCACAGTTTCTATCGGTATTATTTGTTTAGATAACATTATTATTTCATTTGGAATCTTTGTACAGACCGCTAGCCAGCAATTACCAGCAGCAGATGATAGTTTTTTTAATTTTGCCCTGTTTGGTGACGATTTGAAGTTGGACCGGGGGGAAATTGAGCTGAAATGTGAACAAATAGTGCTGTACAGAAAACATTGTAGATTCATGGAATAGCCTGCCAGTGGGAGCAGTAATAGTAATATAGAAAGGGTAGTAGATACATGGAATAGCCTTCCAGTGAGAGCAGTAACAGTGATATAGAAAGGGTAGTAGATTCATGGAATAGCCTGCCAGTGGGAACAGTAACAGTGATATAGAAAGGGTAGTAGATACCTGGAATAGCCTTCCAGTGGGAGCAGTAACAGTGATATAGAAAGGGTAGTAGATACCTGGAATAGCCTTCCAGTGGGAGCAGTAACAGTGATATAGAAAGGATAGTAGATACCTGTAATAGCCTTCCAGTGGGAGCAGTAACAGTGATATAGAAAGGGTAGTAGATACCTGGAATAGCCTTCCAGTGGGAGCAGTAACACTGATATATAAAGGGTAGTAGATACCTGGAATAGCCTTCCACTGGGAGCAGTAACAGTGATAGAGACAGGGTAGTAGATACCCGGAATAGCCTTCCAGTGGGAGCAGCAACAGTGATATAGAAAGGGTAGTAGATACCTGGAATAGCCTTCCAGTGGGAGCAGTAACAGTGATATAGAAAGGGTAGTAGATACCTGGAATAGCCTTCCAGTGGGAGCAGTAACAGTGATATAGAAAGGGTAGTAGATACCTGGAATAGCCTTCCAGTGGGAGCAGTAACAGGGATATAGAAAGGGTAGTAGATACCTGGAATAGCCTTCCAGTGGGAGCAGTAACACAGATATACAGTGTGACAGCACCTGTTTTGGTCCAAAGTTTGTAAAATTCCCTGCAATCCTATTGGAGATACTGGACATGTATCAATGCTTTCTGCCTGGGGTGCACTTTGTCATAACAGTGGCTCAGGCTGAAATGAAATGTATTCTCAGTATCTAATTTTGAATATATGTTAAAGGCAGTGAGAAGGCAGTGGGAAAGCTCAGTAGATAAAGATCACAGCTTTCCAACTAGATTGCCTTTTCATTCTTTTAAAAAAGTTTGGCAAGTATAATATTGATGAGCTGAATGTAAGATTCCATTTTATAACACTAAACAGCTCTTAATCTGTTTGTTTGTTTGTTTGTTTTTCGAGGGGTGGGAGGCGTTTAGTTTTTTTACCGGTTAGTAATTTTCTTCTACAGCAGAATATGATCGTACAGATTTCTGCCACAAACCCTGGGCTGTTCTGTAATTTACATATCTGTGATATCTCCTAACGCTTGGCTCCTTGTCTATTGTACTCTCCCCCTGTAATAATGTTATTCTGTGATCTGCGGAACGCGATGGTAAAATGTGATACCAAATGTATTCGCCTGCTATGCTGAGCGAGAGAACTTGGCCTCTAATCTTTGCTCCCTCATACAAAATGAAAGCAATATGTATATTCACACATATCACATTTACTGAAAGCTAATTTCACACTGCTAAATGCATAGATCTGATATACGAACGGTCTGCCCTTCACGTAACAGAAGACGAAAGTGCAGGATTTGTGAGAGTTTAATACTTTCACGCACCCATCTGATGTAAAGTGTTAGAGAACAGGTCAGACACTCTCACAGGGTTTGACAGATTTTCTCAGTGGGAACAAATCCTCAAATCTTCAATGCCACACTTTTACTATTTTCTTCTAAAAGCTCATGTCAGGTTCACAGTTCTCAGATTGACCTCATCAAGGACACAGCATCAATAGGGATACAGACATACACAGGGCTCGTCTTATTCTCGGACTTTGTAAATCCATAATTGGGTGAAGTCTTTTTCAGGAGCTGAGATGTGTTAGATGGACTGCTAGGAGAACTGTAGTAATTCACAAACTGAGGATACCACACTCACACTTAGGAATCCAGGTGCTTATCAGGGCTGAGGTTGGCCAAACCCAGTTTAGTGGATAAAATAAATTAGGTCCAGGTACTCAGGATTGTTTATACTTAAAAATAATAAGGTGCGCTGTGTCTTTAAGACCCAATAATATAAAGTGCAACTAAGTGCAAACAATTTGATAAAGTGCAAAGTGATACAAAGTGCACTTAGAGTGTGAAATATAAATATAAAATATTATACATACATATGGCCTCTCAAATCCAGATATACATAGAAAGAAAAAAGACACAAAAAAAACAATAGTGTGAAACCGTATTAAAAATATAATATGGATAATAAATGCCAAATATTGCACTCACAAAAGTAGAGCAGAATAAGCCTGCTCTAGCTTTAACAGCTTCTTCAAATATAGGACTGCACAGACGAAAAATATTCCAAAATCTTTATTGCCCAGCACAGCACCAATTTATCACCTTCCTCCACACTTAGTATTCAGTTACAGAGCCTTCGGTAGCATACAGCATAAGGGTATCGACCTGTCCCTCTGCGGATTCGCCGCCGTTATTACCGTCTGTTGGCCGTCTGTTTCCTCAAACTTCCAGGGGGAGGGGCTTCCTCGGGTGCGTGACATAAGGTGCGTAACTTTGCGTGATGACGCGTTTCGCCGTATTCACGGCTTCATCAGATCTTCCCATCCATATCCTTAAAGTCCTTATATACCCATCTTAATGGGTGTATTCAGGTGACTGCCATATAGAGTCTATTATTTTATTGCTGGTATCGATCAAATCAATTAAATATATAAAAACAATATTACTTTATTCAAAATTGCATTATTTAAAAACATATATATACATTAAAACACATCGTTTCCCAAAGAAACTTATTGCAAGAGACATATTTAAAGAAACATACTTAAAGGCATCATTACCCTAAGAGAATTATTTAAAGAGACACATTTAAAGAGACATACTTAAAGATACATAAATACATATTTAGAAACACATGCTAATGACATAACAATTTAGCAACTCCTCCTAATCCAAATGTAAAAAGGTATTGAAAAAAATATAAAAAATAGATAATAAAAATACCTGAAGCAAAGGAAGAAATCAAAAAAAAGCCTTAAATATCTGAACACTATATTAAAAAACATATTCTAAAAAAATATAAATCATATAAAAAAATATACATTGTAAGAAATATATATAGAAACATATTATTATACTAAATAACCCAACATCTGTATTAACCTAAAAAATTTAATAAATCAAATTCCATATTGAGCCCCCTAGGTTCTAATGTTTTTAACCTATGGACCCATTGCATTTCTTTTTTGCCTATGTCAATAATATGATTTCCCCCTCTCCATGATTGGATTGTTGCAGGAAGGCAGGTTTATTGTAACAAGCTTGATAAAGGCCTCTGTGTAGACCCACACATTGCACTTTTTGTTAGGAGAACTGGCACATAGGATGAGCCTCTATAATTCCATGTATCAGACCCTGTAGGTTATATAGACAAGACAGGTAATTCACATGTCCAATATGGATCAGGCAGGGAACTAAGGTATTACCAGGTAGATAAGGGGCCGGGGCAGGGGAGGAATGGTCTAATAACTGGGTGAGCAACCTTTAGCACTCCAAATATTGTGGACTAAATATCCCACAACATTCTTACGGCATCAGGGAAGACGTGGTCCACAACATCTGGAGTGCCAAAAGTTGCCTAACCCTGGTCTAATAAATTGCGAGGGGGGCTTTTATTTATTTATTTTCGCTTTTAGCACTAGTAGCAATTAAACAATTAACTTAATAGTTCTTAATAAACTTCATGATTGTGCAAAATATTCTAAATTTAATATGTGGACATATTTCATGCTAAAAATGCACAATGTGCATAATGTTTCCTGAGAATTATATTTAGTGTGAACATTAATACTCACAGTTTTTCAAGTAGTGCAATTCACGATATATTTCTCTGTATACACTTCCATTATTTATTATAGTCGCTATTTTTATTTGTGGAGGTTGAAGCACTGGTGAAAAATGAGGCAGCGTGATCAGTCCTGCAAATAGTTTTTCACACAGTAAATTTTTATGTCGATTTTGTTTGCCAGTTGTGCCTGATTAGTAAATACTTTACCTTTCATTATTTATCTAAACAGGTTTTTTCCTGGGAAGAGTACATTTAAATGTTACTATTTCTGATGTTTTTGTATTGAATCGCGATGTATACAATACAGGTAGTGAAATATTAGTTACATAGCTGAAAAGAGACTTGCGTCCATCAAGTTCAGCCTTCCTCACATATGTGGTTGCTGTTGATCCAAAAGAAGGCAAAAAACCTGGTCTGAAGCGCTTCCAATTTTGCCACAAACTAGGAAAAAATTCCTTCTTGACCCCAAAATAGCAGTCAGATGTCTCCTTGGATCAAGCAGCTATTACCCCGCTAATTAGAAATTATATCCCTGTATGTTATGTTTTTGCAAGTATTTATCCAGTTGCAGTTTAAACATCTGTATAGACTCTGACAAAACCACCTCTTCAGGCAGAGAATTCCATATCCTTATTGCTCTTACTGTAAAAAAAAATTTTCTTTGCCTTAGATGAAATCTCCTTTCTTCTAGCCTAAATACACGTGTCCTATCTATAGCCCTGTTTATGAATAGATTTCCAGATAATGGTTTGTACTGGCCCCGAATATATTTGTATAAAGTTATCATATCCCCTATAACTATTGTTATAGTATCAGCTGATGGCAGATATAGGTTTTGAGATTCTATATTGGGCAGTGTGACAATAACTTGGTAGCAGTGGAAAATACGTGTTCCTGCTTGGCAGAGACTGATGGGAGTCACCTAGTTGAGCAGTGTTCACAGCTTGCATCAATTATCCTTTCCCCTCTAACCAGTTGGGGAGTGTCAGACTTTATGGGTACTTACTAAACTGGGAATTGTCATGTATTCTCCAGGGAATTACAAATTGAAGATCAAAGTTGCTTTATTGGAAACATAGTGAAACAATGTCTCTAATCATTCTATTTTGTCCTATAATCTGAAATTTCTTCGAGAATTACCTCAAATCACTATTTAATGATGGGAAAAAAGATTATTGATGGTTAGAGAACAGCCTATAAATGTTAATTTCATTCACAGTAAAAAAAAGAATCTATATTTATATATTATATATTTAATAAATGTATATTTTATCAGAGATGGGATACAAACGTGCTAATTTTTGGAGAAAAAGTAAAAAATGTCAAGCGCAATCAAGTGAGACATGTTATGTAAATAGTTATCTTCTTTCGATGATTACAGCAAGTGTCCAAGATCATCTATGGCGGATCACGTCATCGCACAGAACTAATAAGAGTAACTAACATCTTAAGGACAACAATACAAAGAGGCATTTGTTTTGGAAATAAAACCATGGGAGGAGAGGCAAGGAGAGAAATTATTATTATTAATATTAACTGTGTGTTAATGTAGAGATTTCGTGTCTGTAAATTCATAGAGCAGTTGGTACCCTTTACTGGCAGATTATTAGCATCTCACTGTTAAATCTATCAGTTATTGTTAATAGAAAAATCTTGTAAAATTTATATTTTATTTCATTTAGGTATTGGATCTGCATTCAGAGCCTCTCCCACATACCTTTACTGAGTCAGAGTATACCCCCATCACCTCTCCCTCTGTCTGCGTACACCTAAACTTACATCATCATGGCAAGATCACCATAGCAACCAGAAAACGAGCTGTTGGATGCTGAATGATGCCAAGAATTGCAAATAGTAAAGCCACAAAGTTATGGAGAGAATATTAAATTGCACCATTTGTTACATTGTATTTTAATGTTTCATTTATTTATGGTTTTAGGTTAATGGGTTTTTTTTGTTTGGGAGAGGGGAGATTGGATTTATCCAGGGTTAGTTTTATAAAATAAGAATATTACAATGTAATTCATGAAGTTTAATAAATATAAGGAGTAAAGGATAAAATGATCAGGAAGATTATAACAGCTTTGAGCAAGAATTAGCGTCACCCTAAAGTTTGTTTACAGACCATGTCAGTACCATTCCTCTTGATGCATATCTGTGCAAAATATGTAGATACGTGCAAACTGTCGCACCTCCCTCGATGGCTAATTAGACATTGATAAGTGGATGCTTCGTGGTTTCTCAAAATGCTGCTCATTTCTCGTTGAAAATCATTCCATTTACAAAAGTACCTCAACGCAGCTTCTAGCCTCTTATCACAAAATATCATTGGCTCATCTCCATTTGAAAAAGCCTGTTATATCCTTGTACAAAATATCACACGTTAAACCGGCCTGTGCACAATGAACCTGAATAATCAAGTATCTCCTACACACAAACACAGGATAACTGGGTCCATCCATTTTAACCCTGTCAATGCCGAGACAATTCTGATGAAATATTCCAAAATATAGTATATTTTACACAGTGTTTTTTGTACAGAGCATTGACTATACCCCCTGATAGAATGTAATTATTAGTTCATTTATAATGCATGACCACCATCGTAACAAAGAAATTCTGGGGGGGGGGAAGACTTTTATAATAATCCAAGCCTCACTTTGGGAGCATGCATTAAGCCATATACATTTCTACAGGCCAAAGGATATACAGTCAGGTCCATAAATATTGGGACATCGATACAATTCTAATCTTTTTGGCTCTATACACCACCACAATGGATTTGAAATGAAACAAACAAGATGTGCTTTAACTGCAGACTTTCAGCTTTAATTTGAGGGTATTTACATCCAAATCAGGTGAACGGTGTAGGAATTACAACAGTTTGTATATGTGCCTCCCACTTTTTAAGGGACCAAAGGGAATCCAGCGATGCTGGAAGTCCTAATGCAGACTAAAAGTCATCTAAGCACCTGAGAAAAGTCTGATAGACAGCCACTAGAGGAGGAGTTAATCCTAGCAGGAATTTATTGCAGTTTATAAAAGCTGAAATATTTACATGCTCAGGGTAAAGGGTGATGGCCATGTGCACCCAGATCACTTCAATGGGCTGATATGGTTTGGGTGCCTACAGTGTCCCTTTAAACAGCATTATATGTTCTTAAAAGCTATATGGAGGGGTGTAAAGGGTTAGTTCCCCCGAAGCATCCCCCTCCTGTTTTCTACTCTTACGATTCACCACCTATCTAGTCCATTTTACCATATACATAGGTTCCAACAGGCCCACGTTAACCAACACAGTCACATATTTTGGGGTACTGTACCTGCAAAAGTGGATACAAGATACAGGGAATTCAAAACTAATGCTGCTGGTGAAAAAAACCAAAAACTGATTTGGGTAAATAGAAATCTGGGAGGAATAAACATTTTAAATCTGATCTTAAGAAAAAAATAACGCTAGTCTGATTGGTTCCTCTCCTCTGCTGAACTTTTATACTCGTTACCATGTATTTCCCTGTGTCAAAAGTCCTCAGGAAAAATATTGAGACAGATCGCTGACATGTAATATGAATATTTGGGTGAAAAATATTTACAGAATCTTTCAAACTAGCAATCATTCCAAAAATTGCTAGAAATGCATGCAATTTGGCAGGAAGACTCAATAAATATCTTCATCGAGTGCACAGCATGGAGACACTTTATGGTTGCGTATACTATTTTTGAATAAATTCATATATTAAAATAACTGTATTACTTGAGAAACAGAAGGCGCAGGACATATTGATTGTACATATTGAACGTAGCAGATTGACAGCGATAATTACAGGATTATTTAACCCAGAAGCTGCTTTTAAACGTTTAACCCCTTAAGGACACATGACGTGTGACATGTCATGATTCCCTTTTATTCCAGAAGTTTGGTCCTTAAGGGGTTAAGGTAAATGGCACGTTCTCATCCCTTTCACATAACATTTCATTCTCAACACCTTTGCTAAACTACCTTTTCATATTAGCTCATTTCAAGGAGATGAGTGATTTACATATCTCAAGTAGAGATGTCGCGAACCATTTGCGAACTTCCCGCGAACGGCTCGCCGCGGTTCGCCACGAACCGTTCACGGCGAGCTCCGGTCAGCTGACACATCCCGGCCAATCTCCAGCAGACCCTCCCTCCCACCTTCTGGACAGCATCCATGTTGAAGGCAGCTTCAGCATGGATGCTGTCCAGGAGGTGGGAGAGTCTGGGAAGGAGGGTCTGCTGGAGTTTGGCCTGATGTGTCAGCTGACCGGAGCTCGCCGCGAACAGTTCGTGGCGAACCGTGGCGAGCCGTTCGCGGGAAGTTCGCGAACGGTTCGTGACATCTCTAATCTCAAGTATAGATGGTTGTATAAACCGTGAATCGTGGAAAATTGATAAGGGAACTGTAATATAGACCAAAATAGTCAGGCTGGGTTTTTTATTTTTTTTTCAGCTCAAATATTTCATCTTAAATGTTGACTATTCCTCATCAATTCTACACAGTTCTTGAAAAAACTTTTCCTAACTAGTGTGTCTCTGTCTATGCAAATTCACTGATACCCATATGGAATATCACACTAGACAATCGTCCCTGACCACCTTCAACAACAGAGGTGGGCAGGGAACAGAGCACTCTTTAAGGTCTGGTTGGCACCTATGAAGAATCCATCCTGTATGGATTCGCTATTTAATGCGCAGATTATTTTTATAAAATAATGGGCAAGGGCGGTGTTTGTCCTCACCTCCTCAGCGATCTCAGCCAATCCAATGATTTCCTTGTGGGAGAAATTAGAGATTATCGATTCTGATGATGTCAGCCACAGAGGCGGATCGGGGCGGGGCCAGTGTCAGCAGGCCCACGGAGAGCTAAAAATAAGATGAGTTTTAATCCTTTCTAAGGGGGCAGAGGGGCAAGCCACCTAAATGTTTGTGTTCCTGACACTACAGTGTTCCTTTAAACTCACCTACAGTTATATTATATTATAGTCACCTGAACAACTTCAGCTTAATGAGGTTGTTCAGGTGAGAACTATAGCTCCCTGCAGCCTTTCTCATGTAAACAATGTATTTTCTGAGAAAATACAGTGTTTACATTGAAAGCTAGGAATACCTCCAGTTGCAGTCACTCAGAGTGAGCCAGAGGGACTTCAGAGTTGATGGAGGCATAGTATGCCTCCATCCACTCAGATCTGCTGTGCACGAGCATCCTGTGATTCAGTGTCTCCTCCCACTGCATGCAGACACTGAACTTTCCTCATGGAGATTCATTGATTCAATGTATCTGTATGGGGAGATGCTGATTGGCCAGGGCTGTGTTTGAATCATGCTGGCTCTGCCCCTGAACTGCCTCTTTGTCATTCTCAGCCAATCCTATGGGGAAGCACTGTGATTGGATCAGGCTACCACATGTCAGCAGACTGCTTGTTTTTCTGAGTCTAACAGCATGCAGATTTACAGCTTCAGGCTTGAATACAGCAAGATTTTTGCTATATTTATGGAGGCATGAGGGGCCCAGGGGGGCTAGATGGTGGTGTTAACACTAAAGGATCAGGAATACATGTTTGTGTTCCTGACCCTATAGTGATCCTTTAAGTCTGAATTCAAATTTTAATTTGTTACAATTTGGGGTTTTAATGAAGAAACCTGGCAGTCACCATTAATCCTTATTATTTAAACTTAGAAATAATCATTATTGGTATTATTTTGAAGTACATATTTCACAGCTCTTTTCAAATTTTAATTTGGGATAAAAACAGCAAATGGATTCAAACAAATGGGCACAGCCAAGTTTACAAATTCATCATGTTTTTCTCATACACATGTGAGTTTATTAGATAGAAACAGGGGCAGAGTGAGCAATGAGTCAAATTGGTCATGGACTGAAGGCTCGAGGCTCTTGGGGGCCCACCTGTGGTGATGTAAATTAATGGCTCAGCTGGGGACATTAACAAGTTCACCAGCCAGCCTGAACACAGTAAGGGGCCTGCATAGCCTTCCATGGGCCCCTGCTGCTAAAAAATCTTCTTACCCTTGTTTGACACACTGAGGGACAGCTATGGGGCCTTCCCAAAGACCCACTAGGCTTCCTTTCAGTGTGGCTGAAATAATTTGACAGAGGCTCCAGTAGCAGAGCCTCTGCCAGGAAAATGAACCAGCCACACTAAGTATTAGCAGAGTCTCTGCCGGGGGAATGAACCAGCCACACGGAGTAGGAGCAGAGCCTCTGCCGGGGAAATGAACCAGCCACACGGAGTAGGAACAGAGCCTCTGCCGGGGGAATGAACCAGCCACACGAGTAGGAGTAGATTCTCTGCCAGGGGAATGAACCAGCCACATGGAGTAGGAGCAGAGCCTCTGCCGGGGAAATAACCCAGCCACATGGAGTAGGAGCAGAGCCTCTGCCAGGGGAATGAACGAGCCACACGGAGTAGGAGCAGAGTCTCTGCCAGGGGAATGAACCAGCCACATGGAGTAGGAGCAGAGTCTCTGCCGGGGGAATGAACCAGCCACATGGAGTAGGAGCAGAGCCTCTGCCAGAGAAATGAACCAGACGCACTGAGTAGGAGCAGAGCCTCTGCCGGGGAAATGAACCAGCCTAATGGAGTAAGAGCAGAGCCTCTGCCGGGGAAATAAACCAGCCACATGGAGTAGGAGCAGAGTCTCTGCCAGGGGAATGAACCAGCCACATGGAGTAGGAGCAGAGTCTCTGCCGGGGGAATGAACCAGCCACATGGAGTAGGAGCAGAGCCTCTGCCAGAGAAATGAACCAGACGCACTGAGTAGGAGCAGAGCCTCTGCCGGGGAAATGAACCAGCCTAATGGAGTAAGAGCAGAGCCTCTGCCGGGGAAATAAACCAGCCACATGGAGTAGGAGCAGAGTCTCTGCGGGAAATGAACCAGCCACATGGAGTAGAGCAGAGCCTCTGTCGGGGAGATGAACCAGCCACACGGAGTAGGAGCAGAGCCTCTGCAAGGGAGATGAACCAGCCACACTGAGTATGCACCATGTAAAGCCCATCAGGGAGCTCTGTGTGGCGTGTTCTGCAAGAAGTGACATCATCAGTCAAAGTGCAGTGCGGACTGATTGGAACTCCCTGATAAGTGTTACAGACAGTATGCAGCAAAATATCGTGTGCATTGTCCCCCCAGAAATACTATAATAAAATGGTCAGTGAAGAACTTTCAGGAGGGATTTCTGGACCACCAGCGAGGTAAGATTTAGGAAGCGGGGAACGGATTCAATGCATCTCCAAGAAGAGATGCTGATTTTCAGGAAGTGGGGAGTGGGAGGGTGGAGGCAGGGCTGGTGCTACCATTAAGGCGAATAAGGTATTTGCATGCGGCGCCAGCCTCTGGGGGGCGCCCAACGGGAGCTTTCCTGGTGGGCTGCCCTGCTGCTGTCTGGGGATGCTGTGCGAGTGGCTCCTTAGCCACCCCCCAGCGCAGCCACTCACCTGCTGGGCTCCTCTCTGCCGCTTGCCTGCTCAGGGAAAGCACCCAAAGAGAGCACTCTGCTTCCTGCAGGCAGGGGAAGCCGGGTTGTGACTTGGTATCCCGGCTGCCTCCTGCCTGTGAACACCGGAAGCACTCTAAAGGGAACAGGAAGCTCTCCTGCTCACCCCACCAGGAACAAAGCAGCTACCTGCAGGCTGGACTTCTCCTCTTCACAGCTCTTTTCTATTCCTTCTCCTTTCTGCTCCTCCTCATACTTTACCTTCCTTCTCCTTTCTGCTTCTTCTCTTACTTTACCTTCCTGCTCCTTGCTGACCCTTCCTGCTCCTTGCAGACCATTCCTGCTCCTTGTTGACCCTTCCTGCTCCTTGCTGCCTCTTCCTGCTCATTTGTGTTCCTTTGTGCTCCTTCTCTAATTTACCTGTTGTGCTCCTTGCTGTCCCTTTCTGCTCATTTCTATTCCTTCTCCTTTCTGCTCCTTCTCTTACTTTACCTTCCTTCTCCTTTCTGCTTCTTCTCTTACTTTACCTTCCTGCTCCTTGCTGATCTTTCCTGTAGGCTGTCTCCCCCATCCCTTACTTACCTGATGTATAGGCTGTCTTCCCCACATCCCTCACTTCCCCGATCTATAGGCTATCTCTGCCCCCCATATGCTTCACTTCCCTGATATGTAAGCTATCTCAGCCCCCCATATGCCTCACTTCCCTGAT